CCTTCAGATCATTTTCTATATAATTTTACCCTCGAAAACTCGAACTCCCGATAACTCGAACTTTTTTCTATTTCCCTTGAAGGTTCGAATTATCGGGAGTCGACTGTACCTACAACATCTCAAGTATGAAATGTAAATACAGACCAGTTCACCTAATATTAATGGGCTTACCATTATTTTTTCAGAATTACCTAGCTAGAACACTCCAGTCAAGAGAATTCCACTGTTAATCAGGACTGTCCAGCCAGATCAATCAATTTCTAAAATGGTGTGCACAGCAGAGACAGGTAACGGGAAATTCTCAGAACAGACTAAAATTTCAAAATGACCAGCCCAGCCGGCACATTGTTGGATCAATTAAGATTTCTGGGTAACTGACCACCTACCCTTCCCTAAGTCACAATTTTGCTCTAAGTGAGAGTTAAGTGTTAATGTTGACTTAGGGGAGGGGTGGGTGGTCAGTTCACATTGTCTTGCTTGTGCTAATACCTCTTGGTCCTCTTACCTGAAGTCCACAGCATCCCACAGCATTCATGATGGAAGCATTATGGATAACTTGATATGGGATGTTTAATTGGTGTGCTCGCAGAACAAGGTCAGTGTGTGTTGTGGCACTATGAAAAAACACAACACTTGTGCTAACAAGAAACAGTTCAGAAATAACATGGTATAAAAACTGGAAATATGTGAATAGCAGAACCTTGCAAAACAAAGGCTAAATGACCAAAATCGCTTCCATTTCCTCTTAAAAGTATTTTTTCGCCTGCCTTTGAAATTCATCACTAAAAGCACTTCTTGTCCTCTAAAACAGTTGCTAAAACTTGCTGCGGTTTTGTTAACTCACTGCCTTGTTGCTAGGCAACTGCAGATGCCCACACCAATAGCAAGATCACACTTCACTTAGCGATCCTTGTGGGAGTCACATGCAATGCAAATTCTGATAAGATAATAAACTACACATATGAGTAGAATAAATATGCATGTTAGCTAGAGTGATTTCTTATGATGAAGGAGGAAAATCATTCCCCTGCCAAGTACATGTGCTGAAAACAAGTAACTTCAATGGAAAGATGTCAAACGTGTATACTCACCCAAATGGATCTCCAACAACCAAGAAGGCTACATCTTTATCATTAGCATGCTCTAGAATAAGATCTAGAAATGAGAAAATAGACAGTGTGTTTCTTCTTTTTCTCGTGCCTTGCACCTGTTATCATGTTCCAGGCTTGCTCTTGAGCATGAGTGAAGCATGCATGCTTCACCAAATTTGTTTTTATAAAAATGTTTGAGAACAGGCTATGTTTGGGTCATTCACCTATGGTTCAAATAGCTAATCAATAATCACTATCATTGATCTTAGCATCAAGAGCTACATTGAATTGCTCGAAAATTTCTACCTTAGTTTTAGCAGGGATAGATTCAAGGAAGTGATTTTTTCCCTAGTATACAGATCTTGGATCCTAACATCTCGCAGTTAAAAACATGGCATTTTTCTGAATTACATGGACTTGCCAGTTAACATGGATGAATGAATGAATGATAATTATTATCCATGATATGGAATTAATGAATATCGCTAAATAAATATCATTATCCAGAGAATGGGCACACTATTATAGAAAACAATAACTAGCGAAACATGACAAGTTATTGGATAGTACAAGTCCTTACCAGAATTTTGCTCCACTGTTTCCCGGTCAGCTAACTGTATTTTGCGCCCATAAAATTCTTCCTGTGATGAAATAATATTAATTTCAATGGGATGTACAAAAGGTACTTACTCGTACTGTACCCCAAAATGGGTTGGATCAACACCCGAAAACCCTATTCATAATATTTTGTCATATCTGATCCAAGTTTTAGTTATGTCTTGTAATTTGCCAGGGGGAGGGGGGAGGGTGCTCCCTGGTGATAGGCTAATGAGAATTTGGCATTAGATGGGGTCACCTTTTTTGTGGTTAGATTGACTATAATGTGGAAGTGTGAGTGGCCAAGTGGTTCATCTCTCAAACTCTGGATCTGGAGGTCCAGGGTTCAAGCCTCACCCATTGCGTTGTTTCCTTAGATAAGGAACTATACTCCACTGATTGTCTCTCTTCATCCAGGTGAATAAATGGGTACCGGCAACATACTGCCATGGGGTAACCCAGTGATGGACTAGTATCCTCCCATCCAGGGGAGAATAGCAATACTCCTAGGCATGCTTCATTCTAAGGAAGCTGGAATAAGCTCCAGCCATCTGGACCTTTGGCTCGTGTATGCCTTTCCCCTTTTTTTTAGCCTGCGAGCAAGCTCTCCTATTTGGGCGAGTGAAACGAGTCTCGCGAGAACGCGAAGCCGAGCCGAGCTTACAACCATCCCTTACAAATTTTCATTTGTACTTCGCCCAGACGAAGGGAAATACCATTGGCTGAAAAATGACGTTCCGGAAATCAAAGTTGATTAATAACAGGCCAAGCTGGCACCCACTTCGTCTGTGTGTCAAATTTGGTTCTCAGGGGGATCAGATTGGTACCGAGAACTTGTTTCAGCCCTAAAGGCAGACGGACTCGTTTGATGTAATTCTCGCAAAGAGAATATTGCATGCCGAGGATAAGTTGGACCAAGTTTGTAGTTCTTGTGGAAGGAAAATGAAAACCCTTCATCAGTTGTATTCATTTGTGTCAAGCGCCTTGTTTAGTTCTGAAAACCGGGAGAGTGAAAGTTAAGAGTGATTAAAGCGCTGTCTTCCAATATCAGTTTCTTCGCCTGATTGAATTCTACTGGGTAGAAAAATTCAGAAACATGTACTTGACAGTGTAGCTGTGTAGCTTGAGCGTAAAGAAGGAAAAGAGAAAGAGTTGGAAGCAACTGGAGTAAACCTTAAGAGAACCAAGTGCAGGAAAACGCTATTCTCCAGCTCAAGACGGACAAATATATTATGTTTTTGTTGGTGATTGCGATGGGGAGTAACAAAAAAAAAAAATCGCCTGATCGCAGGTTAGATGGGGAGTAGTCTTCTATGCTGGAGTATGGACGACTTTTCAAAAGTAAACGAAACGAGAATCAAAGTAGTGAGTTCTTATCCGAGCGGACATGTTGAAGCTCGATGTCCCCATGAAAAGAAAAAACATATCAGTGATTAAAAACATTGCTTTAATGCTGTTGCGAAAGCGATTTATAAATAAATAATTCTATGCACCCTCGGCTGTCTAAACGTACTTGACAGGCAGTTGTGACTTTTCTAATCTGCAGCACGTTTGTAGTGACAATTTTCGCACTTTGCGGAGTCCCGGGGTTTCTGGGGTGGAAATAAAAATCTAAGAGAGGTCGTTGCAAGTTCTCCTTTACTTGGCCTCTCGCTCGTGCGTTCTCGCGAGGCTCGCTTCGCTTGCCCAAATAGGAGAGCTTGCTCGCAGGCTACCTTTTTTAACTATAGACTATAATGGGTTTAATTTTCAATAGAGTAACTAAGTTGCACATCTTCAGTATTGGGGGATAACAAAAATCAAGGATAAAAATAATTTGTTAATTCATTTTAGGATGACCCAGCTGAGGCTTTATAAGGCAGAGGTGACCTAAGCTGGAATCACAAAAATCACATAATTCCCCAAAAGTAACTAGGATGGGGTCTATAATTGGCCACACAATTGAATATAATTGCTAGGGTAGTGGTTCAAAGAGGCCAGTGACAAATACCCACTAAAAACTACCCAACTACCCCCCCCTCCCACCCCTACCAAGGCACTACATGAGCTGACTTTATCAGGCCTTTTGTATTAGTTGGTCATGTGATCAACTTTTGATAAGCATGAAAACAGTTCACTTTTGACAATTTTTGTTAGCACGAGCTGAAAGAGCATGTTAAAATTAGGTTCCTTGTAAATTTCCAGCCGTATATCTGAAAAGTTGTGATTACAACGGCCGCCAAAAATGAGAAGGATTTGTATGAGAAGAGCAACTTTCGCCATCCAGTCACGCTTTAATGGTATTCCATACAGATCCTTGTAAATTTCAAATTTTTCAATCTTTTCGTGAAATATTTCCTTAAGCATTATGTAACTCAAATCTTCTTTTAATTCATAACAGGAAATTTGATCCCTTAAATGCGTAAGGGAAAGATTTAATGACAGTTTAGAAATTTCAGAATTTACAAGGAGTTGTATGGAAAACCATTCAAGCGTGACTGGTTGGCAAAAGTTGTTTGTCTCATACAAATCTACTTTTGAGATATGCCACTGAAAATTAACAGGTTACCTAATTTTAATATGCTTTTTCAGCTCGTGCGAACAAAATTTTTCAAAAGTGAACTCTTTTCTTTTTTTACCGAAAGTTGGTCACGTGATCAACTAAATGCAGATGACCTTTTTAGTCTACAAATAGTTGTGCAATTGCTTAAATATATAAAACCATGTGGTGCTAACACAACCGGTCAGAACCAACCATTATTTAGGATATATCTTAGGAGCTGGATCAATATAAAGGACTTTGTTTTTCGGAGAAGTACATATTATGGACAAGAAATGGAGAAAATATAAATAGTTTTTGTGTAGCTCCTTGTCAGCTCCATTGACAGTGGCTTATGTGGCAGAGATGAAGCAAGAAGTTAAGCTTTGAGGTGCAAGATGACACATAATACTGTTGCTGAGAGTTGGTAGATACACAAAATCCATTGGATAAATCACTGATAACCATTAAAACAAGCGTCCTTCAACATGAGCTTTGATTGTTCTTTTGGTCATGTTCAAGTCAGCCACAGAGCATTTTATATTTTTCTGAACTTTACATACCAGAACTTCTTGTCCAACACATAAAATTGATGTGTATGCCTCTAGAAAGACATAATCTGCTCTTTTTACTATTTCAAGCCCTTTTACAGTGATATCCTTGGCATCTCCAAGCCCGAGACCAACAAGATAAAGCATGTTTCTCTTGGCGTTGCACAAGGACTGGAACTAGAGGTTATTTTAGTTGTTCATACATGAAGTCCCGCGTAGCTGGCTCTCCTCGTGTTGTGAACGATGGTGAGAAAACTCAAGTTCCACGAGAAAAAACTTCTCAGAAAGGTCGACTTCATATCATGGAAAAGTGACAATAATATCCGTGAGGTGAAAGTTCTACGAAAGTATCACATTCAGAAGAGGGAAGACTATACAAAATACAACAAAATTTGTGGTATGGTGAGGTCTCTTGCCAACAAAATTAAACAGCTTGAGCCGAAAGATCCATTCCGAATTGAAGCTACTGAGCAGCTCTTGGAAAAGCTGTACTCTCTTGGCTTAATTTCCACTCAAAAGAACCTGTCTTTATGCGAAAAGCTGAATGCCTCTGCACTTTGTCGGCGTCGTCTTGGAGTTGTAATGGTTCGTCTACGTATGGCACAAGCTGTAAAAGATGCAGTGAAGTATATTGAACAAGGTCACGTGAGAGTTGGGCCAGAGGTCATTATGGACCCGGCTTTTCTTGTTACAAGAAACATGGAGGACTTTGTGACATGGACGGATACATCAAAAATAAGGAAGCATGTGATGGAGTACAGTGATCTGAGGGACGACTATGACTTATTATGATGAAGTAATGGACATGTGCTCGTTTGTAGACTGCAGTGTATGCCAAGGTGATGAAAAACAACAGACTGCTCACAGTCTAGAGGACAGGAAATAAACTGTACTGCTTGTTTGTTTCAAACTAGCGAACAAATTACAATGGACAATGCTGGTGCGTTTATTCAAATTTAAGTCAAAGTCATTTGTAAAAAACATACATGTAATAACAATATTATTATATTTATTGGATATTATTAGAGGAGTTAGGTCGCTTATACACTTGCCATATTTATTAAATTAAATGCCGCCCTCGTATAAATGCCTCCCTCGATTCAACACACAGATGGAAGCAAAACTACCAATAAATGCTGTCCTCGAATAAATGCCGCACCTCATCAGAAGAATGCTGCGTTTACTTGAGGATAATAAGAAAATACTCAGTACAACTTGGCAATTTACACCATCCAGTCATTTACGATTCTATCTCAGCAAAAAAAGAGAGACATTGAAGCCTTTTAAATACATGATATTTACAAACGATTAAAGGTGGTCAGTGATTTTCAAAAAAATGATTTCAAAATAAACGCCACCCTCGAATAAATGCTGCCCTTGAATAAATGCCACATCTAAAATGCCCAAAAATTTAATAAACCCCATGGCGTTTAATCGAATAAATTAAATGTGGTGGTTGTTTAGACTATTTTAAACATCATTATGATAGTTATTAGGGACCTTAAATTCCAATGAGAATTAGATTGGAAAAGAAAAGCAAATATGCCTTTGTGTATTGTGCTTTTTTGTACATTTCTTTGACATCACTGCATTACTATGAGGTGAAAATGCCCAATTTCACGTTTTATGGAGTGACAATGAAATTTTCTTTCTCTTTCTGAACTTGGGTATGGTTCCTAGAAATTCAACTCCAGGAGATTTTGCTTGCATAATAACTTGACAAAGTCAGTGAGGTTGGAATAACTGCAATGAAGATTGATAGAACGTCAATTCACTTTTTCAGGCTCATTTTATTCTTGGGCCGGGAGAGCCTTCAAACACAGACATATTAACTTTTTAAGAGGAGAGACTGCCTTGTGCATATTTGAACCTTTTCTATGATACTTGCACTGTGACTGCCTTCAAAAATCTAAAGAAGCACCTGGGTAAAGGCTTGTGGAGAGAAGTGACACTCAGAAATATGTCTGTGTTTGACAGATACTCGTTGCTTGGCTCAGTGTATTTAAAACAATATCAACTGCACTGGATTTTGTCTCTTTAGAATGCCATTAAAAATGGTTTACACAGTAGAGAATGTCAAGCATTTAACAATTTGGAATTTGTTTTTACTGTCTTTGAGTGAGATTATGGAAAAAGGTCTCTTGCCTTAAATAAACAGGGTAGTGAAGTGAATGATTTTTATCTACAGAGTCACGGTTTGAGGGCCTCGATATAGCACACCTCTAAGCAAGCTTTCCTTGAGTCACCCCTTCCCAGGGGTTGTTGCATAACTGTTATTCTATTTATAGTAAAAATAATACAATTATTGATTAGTTTTAATTAGAAATTATTATTTTTTATGGCACGATAAGCAAAAATGCTACATTTAACATTTTGAATTTTTCATTCCCAGCTGCCTGTGTAACTGACCACTTGTCCGGACTGAAGAAAATCACGTTTTTCTTATGACCTGCAAAAAGGCAAAACAAACTCTACCAAACATCACGAAAAACCATTATTCACAATATTATTTGCTTGCAAAACTAAGATTTTTGAAAGCATTCAGAACAGTTTCAACATTCGAATTTTTGGAAAAAACTTAATCGTGGTGCCCACATGAGTTCGTGGTTTTAGCGTCCCGCCCCAATCACCCCCACTTCAAACCCTTCAAAAATATTGGACAAAAGGTCAAACTTGTAGAGTTTGTTTAGAAAAATGACCGAAAGAATAATAGCGTTAGCCAATTTATGTATTGAAAAGATGTACTAATGGCCCGTGTCAGTTTAGAATTAACCTAATTTTTGTCTACTGAAAGCCCGCCTTGCGTGTTTTCAGTGTTTTGACTACGGTAGGAATGGCCTGGAGAACGAGCCGATGTGAACACCTCGATCGCACGATAAACCCTGAACAACGATCCTGAAAACCGCTTGGATTTACATAGGAAAAAATAAACAGGACGATACATAAATTAACAATAATTGTTGGAGAAAGCTCCTCCCCTTGATCTACAAATAACAAACCAGCTTTGGTCTCGAGGGAGTACACAGTGATTTGTGTCCTGGAACGACCTTCATTAGACAAGATAGCTCGTACAAGACAAGTTTCTTTGAAAACAGGTGACAATAGGTGCTTGCAAAGGAAGAGGAAATATCGAAGGATATAAGTCGTTGTTCTGATAAGAGCATAATAAGGTAAAATAGATCACATCCGACATCTGACAGGATTCTTAAGGCATATTAATAGCTTGCTGGGTTTTGACAAAACATTTGCAGCACAACATTTTTCCCTCGGGCAACTAGACGATTCTTTAATGTTGTTGGGCAGAAAAAGCATGTTTTTTGCTTGTTTATTCAACGATAACTCTTTGTGATGTCCTTTTGTCTTCAAATTTCCCCCACAGCTGTTACAGTAGAGAAAGCTGCTTCGGATTCCTGTCGCGCTACATTTTCTTCCAAGCCCTGCCATGCCGTTGGCGAAGAAAGCAGCAAAGAATGATATTAGTAAGTCCACGTCTTCTACATTTTTAACTTAAAGAAAGTTGTTTGAATCAGAAAAAAACATACAAATTTCACTGCCTCTTCAGTAATTATTTCACTGGGCTCGACTTATACCCAGAAACTTGGCAATAAACATTAACATTCCTAAGGTGACCGCCGGCCATTTTGACGTCAGAAAAAACACAAATCTATCATGTGGTTTTGTGAATTATGCAAGGAAGCGTCTTTCATTCAGCGTCGTTTTGGTCCATACAGAGTTTTCTGTGTCCCGCTTTTCACCGTAGGAGCTGAAGATGAGCTCAAGAACCATCGCCTAGTAGATGTTTTGTAGAATGTTCATTGTTCACGACGCCCGCACAATGGTACCGTGATGTGATGTGTGTCTTTAGAAAATGATTTGAACGCTGTAAATATAATCTTACACATCAGGGTTCTCTTTGTCGTGTTATCCCTTTCCACTGCTGGAATTCTGCAATGTTTATGATTCTCTATTAGCATTCCTAGGGTATTTTGCAACATATGTTAGTACATTATGAAAAAGTCGTAAATATTGATTCTACAGAAGTACGACGAAGTTGTAACTTCAGGATTCTCTTCTTACTCACGAGGAAAACACTTTAATTGATTTGGGAAGTATTTAATCTCAATTATCCAGACCAGCACTTACCACTACAGAGATTTCGTTGTTTACTTTAAGACAAAAATGGCCCTTGAAAAGGTTTCCTTGGATCTAAATGGATCTATTGCTTGTGCTTTGACATTTGTTTGTAAACTTCTATTCTGTGTTGCTTAGAGAATGTGTCATTATAAATGAAATGTAATTACTGACAAAATGAGCTAAAATGTACAAGTTGCCTACATCTGGTATCAAATTCGGTAAGTGTCATAGCGTATTGCAGCCCTCAGGCAGTACATTGAAATGTCCATAAATTATATAATTTAAGAGGTCAAAATGACAAACAAATTAGTATAGCTAGGCCGATCAAGTCGGCTGCTAATAATATTTTATAGAAAGATAGGTGATGATCTTGTGTTGAAGCATTTCTTTTACATTTAAATAAAAAAAAATGTATCCGTTCTTGGCCTAAAAATAATCAAATATTTTTTCTGTGCAGGAGCTTGTAATGTTCCTTTAGAAATGATTTTCCTTTCTCACAAATATTTTGCCTTAATTTTTAAAATATACTCAGTATTTATCTTTTAAGTTTTATCTCTCTTGATTCTATTCAATCACCTTTTTTTTTACGTTAAACCCTTCAAGAAGAGTGTATAGTTATTCATCCTCCAAGGTCACTAGTGTGATGACATAAATCTGATTTAGCTTTAGTTTGTAATCCACAGAACTGACACATGGAACAAGGTGTATGGATGTAAAATTAAATTAAGCCAAATTTATAGCAAATGTTTGATAATGTTGCTTTCCCCCAACACCATTTTTCCACATGCATGTAGTCTTCTGACCTTTAGTTTGCCGTAGTTTATTACTTGCACCTTGTAATAAATCTTTTCAGAGCTTGTGGCTTAAATTTGCATAAAGAGAAAAGAAACATTTTTTCAAAGCACTAAGAATTCTAAAAGTAGCATTTTTTTCTGGACTGCAACTGTACAATAATATAATATTATGAAGAATATGTTTTCATGAATTAAATAATACTTAAGGTTTTTGATGATTTTATAATTTTCTTATTTCATACTGATAGGGTCCAGACAAGTTCAATGTTCTAGTGTGAACATTATTTTTATCCTTGAAAATTATTTTTCTAGTTAACATATTTGAAAAATGTAGTATTCCTTGTAAACCAAGGTATACAAATTTGTTAGAATTTACATGTATGTTATGCTTATGGTCTGCTCAGGGTGGAAGTTGACATTTGTAAGGAAATTGGGCTGGTTTCTACCAGTTACCTAGCAACAAAACCTATCAAAATCCTAAACAGTGAAACTGATTGAAATTACCTGGATGTCTTTGTTTGGTGAAATGTTTCCACAAGTCACTTCCAAGATTTTTTTGACCACATTTTGAGTTTCAAACCACTTAAGAATTATGGCTATTTTTTTAAATGGTGTGTCCAATTGAAGTCAGTTTGCTTGTTTAATTAATCGCGACAAAACTTCCACCTTTCCTGCTTTAGGTTGCCGGTTCAAATCATGTTGGTTGTTTCTTTTTTTTCTTTTCTGTTGTTTTGGCTTTTTTCCCTTTCTTACATACTTTTTGAGTGTCTGGAGGTTCTTCGAGAAATGTATTTCAACTTTAAAAATAGGTTGACTTTATAAGAAAAGTTTAAAGGTGCTAAAATTTTTTGAAAGAAATCAGGAGTCGGGGTTGAGATGTTTAACAGTAGCCTGAGAAAACAGCCAACATTTGGTGGTGCTACCACTGGTTTCCCCGCCACATGACAACTGAGAAATGAGCGCCGAAATTCCATACTGATGACGCGTCACCACCCAGATCTGGATAGTGCCTCTGATTGGTACATGGGAAATTTGATTCAACCAATGAGAAGCACTACCCAGATCTGGGTCATTTGGCGGGGAAAGCAGTGGTAGCATCGCCAAATGTTGGCTGTTTTCTCAGGCTAGTTTAACAGTGGAAAGAAAAAAAGCAGATTGGGCTAGGTTTTGTCTGTAAACACAAATATTGGTACAAGGAAGGATGTTCAAAAAGTACTGCTGGGGAACAAGCCTATGTGTGGTCATCTTGGGTACACTTGCTGCTGAGAAATCTGCATTTTAACAAAGGTTTTCATTCAGACGTTCACTGGTCTGACATGTTTGATTGAAAATTTTCTGGCAATTCTCCCTTGTTCGTCATTCACCTGGAGATTTCCGAAAATCTCCATATTTAGGTGTTTCCGTATGTTTCTTTTACTGGCGACCAATAAAAACGCGTTGTTTTGAAAACGTCACAGGTCTCTCTTCGGCGCCCGGACCTTGTCTGTTTCTTTGATACCAGCTCAAAAATACTGAAGAAGATCGAGAGTTTTTCAGGCAGAACTTTTTGGGTTGGCTATCATTATTTTTGGCCACTCTGAGAGAATCGAAGTAGTTGGTATTGTTGGTTGCCCGTTGAGTCATGGGCAACGCTCCAGCGAAGAAAGGAGACCCAGAAAATGGTATAATAATATTCGCGGGGGCATCTGTTGTTACACTCACCCTTGCGAAAAACCTACTAAGCTTGTGTTTTTGTTGTCTTATTTTATTTTTTCCTGCAGTTAAAGCTTTTCTTACTGAGGCGAAGGAAGAATTCAATGCAAAATGGGAGAGACCATCTCAGGTAAGGCTTTCTCGCTACGAATTGTAGTATTATACTGTCGCATACTCCGTTCGCTTTTAACTGAAAATATATTCATCTTTTTGATGTGCGCGCTTTTGTTGGGTGAGACTTGTAAATTACTTTAAACGGTGTTCTTTCCTTTTGAGATCGTGTCACTAACAACCCGTGCTTGAATCTTAGTTTGGCTTGTCGGTCCTATTTTGTAGTTGTAAGATTTTTGTATTTCAAGGCCGGCCAAGTTGCTTTGTCACGAAGTATTTTCTATATTGATTTTCATGGTGTCGCTCATGTCATGTCTGTTTGATGCTTACAGAATACGGCTAGTTTGGATGAGTTTGAGCGTCTCAAGACCCTAGGTACTGGATCATTTGGTCGAGTTATGCTGGTACAACACAAGAGCAGCTCAAGATACTACGCCATGAAAATTCTGGACAAGCAAAAGGTAATCTGAGGTTTATTATGTTGAATTTTTGAACGGGGTTTTGCGAGGATTTCGATTAGGGATGACTGGCGCAGTATGTCGGTTTTATTAGTTTAACTTATGTGCAAAAATATTACTCCCGACCTCTGTTTCGAAGCCTCAATCTTTCAAGGATTAGAGAAAAATATTAAATAAGGACGATTGTATCCTTGGAAAACGAGATCTCCGTTTCCTCGAATTTCTAAATTTGAATGGCAGATAAAAGACTTCGCTTTAACAACAACAACCTGTTCGTTGATTTATTCTGAATGTCTGTTACGAATAGCTGTGTCTTATTTTAAGATATGAAAGTAAAAATTCAATGAATCTGGGCGCTATTTTTTTAGTTTCGTATCTTGGATTACTTCTTCTTTCTTGTAGACATTGAATTATTACATTCTTGGTTTGCACTGTTCATTGCTTTTTGTAATCTCAACTTAGACATAGGCACCATTTTTTATGTAACAGGTGTTATGACGAATTAATAATCTTGAACTGGGTGTAGCATAGAATTCATACGATCTGCTTTAATTTTAAGGTTGTCAAGTTAAAGCAAGTTGAGCACACGTTAAACGAGAAGAGAATCTTGCAAGCCATCACCTTCCCATTCTTGGTGAATCTGGAATGGCACTTTAAGGTTTGTTTCTGCAAAGATATTGGCTAACATCATGTTTCTAAGCTCATTCCCCGATCTGTTTTTCCATTAAGTTTGAACTAAAATACAACCTTTTTAAACTCTAATTCCTTAAGTCACTTATTAAAATTATCTGCATTATAATTGTTGACAAAATAACACGGACGTGTTAACATCATTTGAGAATGTTTTGATTATGATGTCCTTTTGTTTAAGATATTAAGATTTTGCAACACCCACTTGCAATAGAATGATATAAGTTTTATAAGTGAAAAATTGTTGAATCATTTAGATAAGCCTGGAATACCATCACCACTTTTGGTTTCGTAGGGTATTTTACTCATTCCTTACTGTCAATGACATTCTAATTTAAATATTGTTGCAACAAAATAATAACAATATTTGGTGCAAGTCTTGGGTATAGGCTGTAAGAGACCAAGGTTAGTTTCAACATACTCATCATTGCTCGTCTAGCGAATGATTTTATCCAACATTTATAAAACTTTAATATCAGTAAAGCATTTTCTTTACATTCTATGACAACGTTATCACCCCGTGCCTGCCACTTTTAACATTACTTCATCTTGTACAACTGTTGTGTCTATTGTAATAACCTTCTGACACTTGCATTGTTATGTTGTCCCCTTTCCTTTAAGGTGCCTGTAAGTAATTGTCAATTTGCTCCATTGTAAGCTAATACTTTGAATATGGTTATTGATATGCCTCAGTAAGTTCCTATCCAGGATAAGAGGAATATTTTGATTAAAGAAGTTGCCTAGAAGTACATGCGTTAATTTTAGTGAATATCCATGCGGCTATCTAACATCAGCAAACATCAGTTACCATGTAAGACATCACAGACACGGTTCATACAATCTTGAAAAGGTCTTGAATTTTAGTAGTCATCTTGAAAAGTCCTTGAATTCCCTTGAGGTCCTTGAAAAGTACTTGATTTCTTTATTAGGTCTTAAAAAATCCTTGAAATTCACAACCTTGTCTGCGCCAGACACCTTTTTCTGTAAAATTAGATTATTTTGCTGAGGAAAATTTGGCTCATCCTCGGTGTAAGAACCTGTAAAACTCACGAGGAATGTAAAAACATTTTTGTGCATGAACAATATGTTATTTCTGTTTCTTTATTTCAAATGCTATTTCTGTACGTCAGACACATTTGCAAGTCATACCCTGTCATTTTGCAAAGTGTTGTTGCGGAAAATAGTATGAAATAATGTGATCAATGATGGCCGAAGAGGTAAAATCATAAATGACTTCATGACGTGTTCTAGCCAGTAGGGTGATCAAAGGGGGTCAAAGAAAACTGTAACTGGTCCTTGAAAATGAAAAGTCCTTCAAATATTGTTTGTCTGAAGTTGTACGAACCATGCAGACATCTCTTGCTTGTTTGTTTAGCTATCAATTAATGGTGTCTTTGTCACCACTGCACTGTAGCCTTATTTTCAAATGTACTTTCTTTTGTTTGTAGGATAATTCCAACCTGTACATGGTGTTGGAGTTTGTGCTTGGGGGAGAAATGTTCTCTCATCTAAGACGCATTGGTAGATTCAGGTGAAATATTTATTTTTTTTATGAGAAGGCATGAACAGGGTTTTGTGTGCTTTGACATCGCCTACTTTCCCCCTTGGTGACAATCAACCTGATTTCAGTGTACCGCACACCTCAAATCTGCATAGCTCAAAATACATCTCTTGATAACATTATCGTAATATCCTCAAGCTCTGAAACCAACTGTAGAGCAACTTATGTATTCATATTGGTTTTAAATGACATAACTTAGCAAGGTTGTGGTGATAGCTGTAGCCGCCCTAGTGCCCAACACTTCTGGGCTTTTTAATTTTCACAATTGTTTGTTTGGGAACATTGCAAAGAATACAGCTGTTAAAACAACATTCACAGGAAAATGCCCTTTTACCCCCCTGGTACGTGGAAAAGTATACTTACATTTTCGTTATTTTTCTTTTTCAGTGAAACCCACTCAAGGTTCTATGCATCCCAAATTGTGTTGGCTTTTGAGTACTTACACTCACTAGATCTTATATATAGGTACTGCTTTCAAATCTTCTACTGGAGGCGTTTTAAACTTATATTAGTACACACCTTATGCAGAGGGAACACTTCATTTCACATCCAATGAACTGTGTTTATACAGCGTTTCCCAAGTTTTTTTGCTCATTCATAAATTTTTCTTGCTTAGGGATCTCAAACCAGAGAATCTTCTGATCGATGAAAAAGGTTATTTAAAGGTGGGTAGGAAAACTAAATGATTTTGTTATGATTATTCAGGCCAAATTTTAGGAAGAGATGTGGCGTAACATCTTCTGCATGTGCCTAGTTGAATGAGTGGGTTATGGAAAAATTATGTTGAATGTATCCAGAGCTCTCCTCCCATGTACATGCAGGGGAGGCCAGATCTTTCCAGTACTCCTGTAATCAAAGGAACCACTTGAGTCTTTTGTTGACAAAATACAGTTGAACCTCCCTTAAGTGGCTACCCAACAAAGGCAAAATCAGTGTGCCAAGATTTAACCTTCTAAACCCTGAGATCAAAATTAAAATTCTCATTTGTTGCCCCTATTCATTTACCCCAGAAGTAGTGAGGAGAAGGTAAAGCAAAGCAAATTCATCTTTTGTGATCATGTCCATAATTCTCATAACCACCAGCGTGCAAAGAAAATGGTGTCCGATAGTCTGCGCTGGGGCTAGTAGATTTTGCTATCGGGCTGGTGAATTCTGTTCTTAACTTGCCCGACAGGCAAGTGATGTTTTTTTAGGAATTCTAATAACAGAAGAACTGTGAAATCAATTCTGCTCGTCAAAAAGCTTTCGGGGCTAGTTGAAATGATGCCAGGGCTAGTAAATACTAGCTTCAGCTTGCCCAAATAGCAAGCTGTAAAAATGATTTTCTTTGCACCTGGACCACCAGGTTTTACAAAGCATTGCCATTACAAGGAGACATTTGATACTTATCACTCTTCTGGTAGTTTACTGATCCACAGGGGGTCTCCTCCTAGAAAAAGTTTTGATGTATCTTCATTTTAGAAGAGATTCGTTGCATGCAATTTTTAAGTTTCAACACGTTGTCGCTGAACAATAATAATCTGTTAATTAACATGTCTAAATAAATGCTATTGTGTGAATTATTACAACTGTTGTATCATTGTATCACTGTTGTATCAGTGTTTGTTTTTATGTAATTTTGGAACCAATTTGTAATATTGTTATATACTTTCTTTTAGGTTAAACTTTGTAACTGCAGCGTGTGTTGTGTGAATAAATGACTATTAAATAATAATAAAAAATGTTGTTGCTAAACATTCTCTGTACACTCTGAATAGTGTACTATATTCAGGGAACATAGAGATCAAACCATGAAGTGGTTCTTACAGGAGGGTAAAACAATAGAAACTTCTAAAAGTGTCATCCAAAAAAGTGGTCATTGGACCTTGCTTACGAGAGGTGGTTGTTTATGAGAGGTTCCAACTGTAATGATTTCACTTGATGTGTAAGCACATGCAAAAATATGCCCATGCTGTTAAGTAAAATTAAAGCAAAAAACTGCAATAATATTTCTAGGTGACTCAAGACTTCTTGTAATATTTTTATACTTATAGGTGACAGATTTTGGCTTTGCAAAGAGAGTGAAGGGAAGAACATGGACTCTCTGTGGAACACCTGAATACCTTGCACCAGAAATCATTCTTAGTAAGGTAAGAAAATCTGTGAACATATTTAGCACATCACTGTTAATTAAATCTACACTCGTTAATGTCACAATTTTTTGTTCTTTTGTAATTCTTCAGGGTTATAACAAAGCTGTTGATTGGTGGGCTTTAGGTGTTCTCATCTATGAAATGGCTGCTGGGTATCCTCCATTCTTTGCTGATCAGCCCATACAGATATATGAAAAGATTGTATCTGGGAAGGTAAAGTATGCAGGGATGTAGATACAGATTTTAATAAGTGGGAATGTGGACATCATAGGTGGGTATGATGGGCCAGAGGCCCATTTAATCATGCCTTTGGCATGATTCACCTAGGGGGGTCCATTGGCGTACTCCCATGGAAAATCTTGAAAATTAGAATACTTACCATTAACATGGGAAAACCGGCAAATTCCGGTTGGAAAATCAAATAGTTTGTGCCATTCCATTTGGGAACCTTCAGAATATGGGCTGTGATTTAAGGCGATGCACTTTTTCTGCTCTGTTTAGTCTGTTCAGCTGATTTTGATTTACTTTGAAGCAGGTCGTTATGCCAGCACGTCAAATGTTATAGTTTTATGTTTACATGCAAAATTTCCACCCAGATGGTTTGTGTAAGTGGGAAACATCACTAGACTCTTGGAAACACATTTTCCTGATTTTGGTGCAAATTTGATCCAATTGGGTACTTTTCCCAGTGAATACAGATAAACAGATTTCTCACAAATAAAGCTTCCATAAACTGTGATACTATACTAATACTAAGGTGACACTGTTGTCTGCTCTGGCTCATGATGTGGACTTAAAAATTGTTCAGGAGCAGATGGGGAAGTAGTTGTGCATGTGCGCTAAATGTTTTGTCTTGATTCTCAGTTTGTTGTCTAGAACTTGTTACTTTCGGCCGGGTTTTTTCTTGCTCTTTTGACTTCAGAATCACTTGTCTTTCCTCTCTTCCCTGACATATCAAGCAAATTTTGTCCACTGCAGTCTGTTCCCAAAGGACCACGTGATTTGGCATTTACTATTTTACATTCATGAGGGGTAAAATGGTACCGCTTACACAAAAGAGTCTGCAAACAGAAATGCAATGCAGTCGTTCAAACTCAAAAAAATGTAGAGTTTGTAAGTTCATATTAGTTGCAGTTGAAGAGATGCGGGCAGTTGTGGGCAGGAAAAAAATGACCAACCTTCCTCTAGAAATATTTAGGAAAGAGAATATGTCCTTTCTGAGGAGGCTGCTCACTTTTACAGCTGGAAGAATGATGCTCACAGCCGGGTAATTTTCCCCGCTCCTGGCTGTTATCTCCATCCCTGAGTATCAGGTCTCAGAAGTGTCCTTTAGCCATTGCTATTTTCTCTGCCGCTTTTGCGGCAGACTTTGTTAGAAACAGGACCAGGTTACTGCAAAATCTTGTCCAAATGTTTGTTTTCCCAATAGGTCAAAATAAACCACTTAAATACCCTAGACTTGATTTAGTAAACCCCTGTGGGTTTTAGTTCTTCATTTACAGTGCTCAAAAGGGATGGTCAACGGACAATGTCCTGCAAGAATGACATCTTGAGCTGCCAAAAGATTCACTCGCCAGTCTTATCAACCAGTCACGTGGAGTCTTTCTTTTAAACAAGCAGCTCCTCAAAATTAAAATGTAAATTTTGCATTTTGTCTCCTTGTAAAAGGACAATCACATTTACAAATACAAAATTACACAAGGATTGGTTCACTTTTTTTCAAATTTTGACTGGTCCAAAAACATGACTTGATGGAGCAAAAATTTCTTTGGCCAGTTGTTGTGTCCAGCCACTGTCCAAAATTTATTTTGAGCCCTGCATGTAATAGATATCTGTCCTCATTGAACGCCCGGTCACTGAAAAAGTTGCCATTATGTTATGGATGTGATAGGGAGTGATCAAGTGAATCATGTTCACAAAAAGTCGACTTATTTACAGAGGTCTCCATTAACATCACATTGATTGTATCTTTTTTTCCATTCGTTTCTTTGTCAGGTTCGCTTCCCATCTCATTTCACAGCAGATCTTAAAGACCTGTTGCGTAACCTTTTACAAGTGGATTTGACAAAACGCTATGGTAATCTAAAGAATGGTGTTGGGGATATCAGAGGTCACAAATGGTTTGCCTCCACAGACTGGATAGCCATTTATCAACGAAAAGTATGCAATAAACTTGCCTTTGTTGAGAGTTTTTTTTTCTTCAGTATAGTTATTAAAGTCCAATTTATTGCACAAACAATAATTTACCTTCTTGCGTTGGTAGTTAGTTGCCTTTGACCATACATTTCTGAATCTACCAATGTATGGTTTTCAACATTTTACACAAAGGAAGTTAAATCACGTGCTGGTTTTTTCTGTGGCATAATTTGTTGTCAATACCATTTTACTGGTCCATAGAGTTATCTCCGAATTTAGGCATAATTTAAGAAAAAATATTGTTGTTTTGCCTTTTGTGTAGGTTGAAGCACCCTTTATTCCCAAATGCAAAGGTCCTGGAGACTCCAGCAACTTTGATGATTACGAGGAAGAACCCCTTCGCATATCCACCTCAGAGAAGTGTGCAAAGGAATTTGCAGATTTCTGAAGAGTAAATGACTGACCTATAACTATTGTGTATTTAAGTTATCCAGCAGTGTACAGAAAAGAATGATTGACTTTAATATATCAGGCATTCTTAACAAGGAGTCCACAGGCCATTAATGGACAGTATTCCATTTGGAATGTTATCACTTTGCCCGGTATTCCTTCCGTTGTCCTAGAACTGCTTTACAAAGGCTTTTTATTTATAAAAAGAACTCCATTGTAGTAGATTTTAGGAGAAAGAATTTTTAAAAGCAGGCATGTAAATGTATTATTTGTAATTTATACATATTATATATAATTTTGCCAATTCATATTTTAGAACACAAGTATGAATAGTCATCTTTAGTTCCAACGGTGTTCATCCTTCAATGTCAATAAAGTTCATTGTGCCTGTAGTTGTAAACATCTGTGTAATATTAGTTTGCGTAAAAAGGACAACTGTCATGATTTGGCCAAAACTATGGCCAAAAGGGAAAAATGTATCATATTTCTTGCTTGTTTGTGGTTGCTCTATTAATGCAGAAACTTGTTAAGATCCTTTGTGTCCATGGGAATCACTTTATGTCCAGATCCCCATCTATTTTTCACACTATTACTTTATGTCTGTGTGGGCAAGATTTTCTCTTGAAGTTTGATAAAAATAAGTTTGTTGTTGTGGTATTTTCCATGTTTATAAGAAAGTTGTCCTTATTCCAGGTTATCAACGTTTAAAATGTAAAAAGTTATGAACAACTGTTTTGATCACATCAAATTCACTAACCAATTTTATGAAGTTAAGAGCCACATAATTTCCGAGTTCTCAACAAAAGGTTGGCAAAATTCCTCATTTAGGGGAGAAGAAAATTCAGAGAAGTCAATGCGAACTGAGTTTGCAAGTTTCTTGATTCTTACCCCCAACCAGCTAGTTTCATTTAATTGTTAAATTCAGATTTTTATCTGGTATCAATATACTGACCTAATTTTGTAGACCTAAAATATCTTGCCTTATTAATAGTGTACAAAAACAGCTGTCTCTCCCTGCTTCTTGCGGCTAGGGACATTTTGAAGGAAAGACATCTGTGCCTCTGTGACAAAGAATTTGATACAGATGACTTCTGTCCTGAATTCTAGCTGTTTACAAATGACAGATATAAGGCCACAAAGGTTAATGTGCATGCAATGAATCTATACTACAAAACAGTCAATATAAGTGGAATAAGATTTATTCTTCTCTAGAAGACGTATCTGAGTTCTGCTGGAGCTTGTTTGCATAATCCACCAGAAAAAAACAAAATCAAACTAATTTTGAAACTCCATGACTCACACTGATCATGTAAGCATTCATCTATGTCATTGGTAGGGAATTTCTGACATTGGCGCAGACGTCTTTCTTGGGCATGTGAAACATCCTTAGCGCAAAGGAGTGAGGAGAGGCGGCTGTATTTGCAGGCTTTTGTTTTAAGCAATTCAAATATTTAGCCTCGTTTCATCCAAAGAGGGGAAAAGGGAAAACTTTCAATACCCTGTAAATACATGTTGCACGTGTAACAGAAGTGCCAAGAACACGTTCTTTACGTCATCATTATAATGATGAATGGGAAACTCCACTACAGTTGAACTGAATTAATCTGTCACCCTTGGGGTACTGGCAAGTAGCTTCTTAACCAGAGAGTGGCTGCACAATAGAGGTTCATCAAAAATTAGCCTAACCTTTAGCAGTAATGAAAGTTTTTGGAATTAATATGCAAGTGGAACCTGGGCAGTTGTACTTGGCTCACTTTTGGCTGAGTATGTGCCACTGGCCACTCAGACCCCTTCGCAGGGCCAGTTCAGTCTATTCTGTGGCCAATAATAATAGACCCCATCTTAGTCACTTTTTGGCAAATGTAATTTTCACAATCCCAATGTAAGGTCACTTTTCGATTATGCATAAAGCCTTCAACAAGGTCATTTTAAACCCATTTTAAAATCCACATTTACCAGAGTTTTCGTAATCCCCAAAAATCCCTTAAATGTGTGACCTCATTCTAGTAGCCTGTTTTATCATGACCATAATATGAGAAAAAAGTACTGTATGAGGGCCTTACGTGTCAAGTTTTAGGGTCAGAAAAACGCGTACCATGCCCCTGGAAAAACGCACGTGGAACGAGGCAAATGCTGCCACAAACGTATTTTCGCGGTCATACGATGAAATACTTATTGTCTGATTCAACCTCGACCCCAGGGTCCTCTCCTACCCATCTCTCGCTCCACAGGGACAGGTAGGAGAGGACCCTTGTGACTGAGTTAGGTCGGGCCAGATGGGAAAATATTTGGCTCTTGGTCAGGACTATTTTTCTGTCCAGCCCTCCAACTCAGTCATCAAGTACAGAGCAATGCACCCCTGTATTGTCGATCCCACAATGAAAATGCCACCCCATCCAGCAGCACATGCCCATAAGTTTATAAGTAGGAAATACCCACAACTGGCTCGGGCAAAGGTGTCAACTGTTTTCTTGTATAAATGCTGGATATAGGCGTATCTTTGTTTACATTTCACCCTAAAAATAATATACAAAGAGTTAATCAGCTCATAAATGTTTTGCAATTCAGCAACTTCGCAGTTTTTGATTGCTGCTATTTTCTTTGTTATTGATTGCAAAGCCGGAGCTGAAACTTGCACAAACTGCTTGAATTGCCCAGCCCTTACAATGTTTGAACTTAATTGGTACATGTTGTGTGTACATATGGCTACAAAGCCTGCAAGCAAGCTCTCCCGGGGCCCTCTGGTGGAAACCCCAGGAGAGCTTGCTTGCAGGCTAATGGCTACGTCTCCTACGGGTTAACTTGTATGCTAATTAGCAAAAATGTAAACAATAACGTCACAATGAATCTGCCTATAAAAAGTTAACCCTGCTGTGAGAGTGACCGAACAGAGTAACCTTCTACTAGGACAGGTTTTCTCCACAAACAGGGTCTAACACAGTCAGGCAGTACTGTCCTCTACAAATATCACATGCAATGTTCTGGCATACAAGAATACCGTAAATCCTCTATTAAGCCCCCTCTCACTACTAAGCCCCCTGCCTCCCCTCCCCTAATTATTCTTCACTAGTAAATGATAGACTTTATGATCAATCACGACTGTAAAACTTTGTGTGTACTGATCATGGATGGTTTATTAATTTACCAGCTGGAAGTTTGGATTTGATTCTGATCCACAGCAGCATGACCTCCGACCTTCTTGTAGTTGAGCTTTTCCACTTTGTATTCTAGTTCTTTATGGAGAACTGATACCATCGTCTGTTCTAAATTAATTAGCCCCCCCCCCCACCCCCTCGCCCCCCTGCATCAAATAAGCTTCCCATCTGTATTAAGCCCCTCCTCAAATGGGCTTGAAGTAAATAAGGGGACTTAATAGAGGAATTACGGTGCCTTGGGCTTGTGTCAAAGCAATGGACAAGAACTGGTGCATACCAGAAAGAGAAAGCGCTCCACCAGGATACACCAAATGTCAGTTTGTTTTAATTATTTAATAATGTAGCAAACATGTTAGTCTATTTACACAGCCTGAGCAAATTTTCATCCACAGAATTCAGTTTTTAGCATGACCATTCTCTGTTACTGCAGGTGTTGGTTGGGCTACTTGTTCCTCATCTTGACGAGCCTTTTTTACTGGTGCCTCTGTTTCTTCTTTCTCAGTTATACTACTCTCTTCCTCTGGCTTCCTCTAGGACAAAACCACCATAAAATTATAGCAATGAATTGGCAATTTGCCATCGGTTGCACCTAAGCATGTACACGAGACGAAAAAACATGTTCTAATTGGGTGCAAACATGACATGTCTTGCTGCCAAACATCCAAAGTTTGGAGTAGGCGACTGTTATCGACTTGATTTGTTTTGGCTCAACAAAAATCTTTGCAAGAAATTTCAATTAATGTTAAGAATATTTCCTGGAGGCAAGTCTGCTGTTTGTTTTGCATCACACAATATATTTGAACATGGAGGTTATATCTGATGGCTGGTGCAGTGGATTGGTTGTTTTTTTGGGAAAGGCTGGGAGTAATAACTTTGCATCACTACCACAAAATGCAATATATATAATAATAAATATTAATGGCAGCATACACCAATTACTACTTTCTTACCTTTCTCCTCACAAGGTGACTCACATCAGTCACAGGTGCACCAGCAGATACTTTTTTGACCTGTATCTAATCAGCAAAACAAAGACAGTGAATACTTGGTGACATGGAATTCACTGCAAGGTTCACAGGGAAACCCTTTACATGGGTCAGCAGCTTCCTACATAACAGAAATGTTGCAACTCTACAGACCATCAAGAAGCTTGAGATCTGCTTCTAAGTCAAAAAGAAACTCCTGATGAATAGTACCATCAGCTTAGTTGAAGGGTTATGGCTGTTGGTCACTCTTATTTGCCAAACAGTACACTTGAACTATGGAACGCATTGCCAGAGCCTGCCCGCCATCACGTTGATCTTACAAACTTTAAGACTGCTAGGAAGACTTACTTATTTCGTCACCATTTTCAGGTAAAGTACTGTTAACAATGTAAATGTTGCAGTTAATTTTTTATTTCAGTTAATTTTTGTTTTTCCTTTGTTTTAACTTCTTCTTGCATATATTACCATACCCAAAAACAATGAAAAAAAATTTAACTGAAATAAAAAATTCACTACAACATATATGATCATTGATGTAAATTTTAGGAATTAATTTATACAGATTTAAGTTTACTTCTTAATTACTTTCCCTTGTTTGTAACAGGAAACATAACATGCTGTGCAAGACAACCAAATAACCACAGGCTACGCTTTAAATGCACAAAAACGTATGTATTCTAAATTGAAAATTTAATTATTATAATCTTACTGTGTTGACAGGAAGATCACTTTTTTGTAGCCCACTTGATCCAAAGCCCTCTTCTGTTGTTGTTTCAGCCTAAGTAAATAAAAAAAAAACGTAGAAAAATCCTATGCATTTTGCAAACAAACTTCATGGCAAAATTAATAATCTCAAACAGATGATGCATTGTTTTCATCTGATACATAAACCCTAGACCCAAAAGGTTGAAAAACAATTGATGCGGTCAAGATTTGATAAGGTTATTGACTTCGAGTCGCCAATCAGACAAGAAACTAAAGTGTGAAGCATTATGTATGAGCCAATGTTTTGTGAGCCATTAAGGCATGAGATTTTTAATTTATCCTTGCTGAGGTGTCAGGATTTTTCATAGAAAATCAAATCATCCTAAAAACATCCAAAGCCAGCTGCCAAAGATTTTTTATGAAAGTTCATTAAAGAGTTCCAAAGTTTTGATATAAGTTACTGAGTGCTTCAGGAAATTGCAAAAATTTCAACTGGACTTAAGTTTTTCTTATCTTGCATTGTAAATGTTTATTAATTTTTACTTTGTTAACATCTCTAAATGTGTCGTTGTTTTAAGGCTGCAAAAGCAGCTCAAATTTTTCTGTTACCGCAATTGAGAAATTGGTTAACATAGGCATGGTTTTCAGTCTGCAGGCACAGCATAGAGTTGCCATCAGCTGGTAGAACAGGTGTTTGAGATTCAAGTGCATAGACAATGATATTCTTGAAGAATGTTAAAATTTGTGATGTGCCTTCTTCATTGTACACTTCCTTTACTCTGGTGATTTCCTTTCATTGATTAGTTTATTCTCTATCAATGTTTTTTCTTCAAACTATGAAATTCACAGAGATGGTTAAATACAGAAGGAACAGGATGTATAAATAGTCATGTAACTTCCCTAATAATAATATTTTGTTAACCCTCTAAGTCTCAATGGTGACCAATATCAATTTTCTCCCAACAAAATTCATACCTTGTCAAGAGATTAGGTTATGAGAATTTATGAAATGATCACTAAAGAGAAAATGCTTTGATCTGCCATTAAATTCTCTCAACTTATTCTTTTAGGGAATGTATTCGGAGATCAGTTTGGAGAATTTGTATGTGGTTATTGGGGCTTAAAGGGTTAATATATACATGACTCATGTACGAGTCACATTACCACTTCAAGTCAAACTACCTGTACAGTCATTAACATACCTGCTGACTGGCAGCAGCGTTCATCATCTCTTGAGCATCATCCACCTAAAAAAATGATAATCAAAATACAAAAGTTATCAACATAATAAGTACAAAAAGATTACTCGAAAATTTTATTCATTCCTAACAATAATGGCCACAGCAAAAAAAATCACAGATACAACAAAAAAAATCTAAAATCTTAACAAAATAAAAAATAAACCTAGACTTACAGTTCTGCCAAAGAGTTTCATTTTTGAATTGGCTACACCATATAATTTTGCTATTAACAATAATAACTTTAACAGTTTGAATGACATAATTTTGACCTAACAATGACTGAATAATTAAAGGTTTTTAATGCTCTGAGAGATTCAAGTTTAATTGTACAATCATGAAGTAATGATAATAATAATAATGATGATAGTAATAACAACAAATAATCGATAAAGTCACATTTAGTATTTTTCAGGGAGGTCCTCTGACTTAGATTCAATAACATTAAAAAAGCTAATAAAATCAAATATTTTTTTTTTTTATAAAAAGCTAACGGTTAAAAAGTTAAAAGGCTAAAAAGGCTAAACAACTAAAAATGCTTAGTGAAAAAAAATCTAAAAGATTTAACCATCATGAAAATACAAAGGCTAATGACTAACAGGCTAAGATGAAAATTTTACAAACTAAAATATTTGGCTCTTAGTCCTGCTTTAAAATTTTACAAGGCATGGGAGATTGGGGAGAGTTGTCCAGTCAAAGACAAGATAAGACAATATTTTATTTGGGGTCTTATACCAGCTGAGGCCATTTATTCCACTACACATAGCAAGTTATTACAAATAGCATTAGTTACATACACACAGACACATTTTGATCGACAAAGCAAGTCCTTTCCCCCTTGAATATAAGCCCCTGTCTTACTTAATATATAGAAATGAATGCAATTTAATTTTATGAAGTTTGGAAGCTTAAGTCTAAAACTAGTAATAAATAAGCCCCAGCCCAGCTCTGCTTACAAGCTCCCCTAAAACCCCTTGCAAAGATCTGTAAGCTAAGCCCAGCGCTTAAAAGTGAAAGTTTACAGTATGGTACTTCATAGATCAAGTTAAGTTCATAAAAGAAATACACTAAGCTTCTTTAATTTTGCTACTTACCCTGGCCTTGATCTCAGGAGATAAGTTTTGTAACTCTTCAAGTTCTTTTCTATCTACTACACATGGATCATTTTCATTTGCTTTGCCTTTGCCTTTGCTTTTAGCATCTGATTCTGCAAGACGAGCTTCAATCTTTGTAGTTCTGAGTTGTATAATGCTTAACGCCTTACTGTAGAACTCTTTTGACTTGGAATAATTTGGTAATAAACTATAACCTAAGCCAAGGTTATAGGCTCTGTAGTAGACAAGTTAAGGTGAGGCATACACACAAGTTCACAAGTTGTTATGTGGTCAGAAAAGGGAGGCAATGACTCCACAGTCAAAAGTACGGTCAATTATTCTTAAGTGAGGTCAGAGAACAGAAAACGACCTTAACAAACTGCTTGGCCTCATCTTGACACTCTGGGAGGGGAGCATGGGCAGTGACAGGGTCCTTAGGTAGGCAAGGGGTCCTTTGTGGGGGGAGGGCTTGGGTATGGAGAGGGGTAATGTAGGCAGGAGGTTCTTGAATAGGGAGAGGCTTATTGGATACAAAGGGGGCTCTTGCCAATGGGTGAAAAGGGGCTTCCTGGGTAAGAAGGGGGTTCTTGGGGAGGAAGAATGTTCTTGGGTGGGAAGGGGGTTCTTGGGAAGGGGGGGGGGGGGTGTCCTGGGTGGCAAGTGGGTTGATGGGAAGGGGGGAGGTGCTGGGGTTCTCCCTCTCATATTTCTTAGGNATCTAGACTTGATGTATAGTGAAGAAAGATGCAGGGTCGAGTGAGCAGTGAAGTCCATAAGGGTGAATGATTTTTTTACAATAAGCTAAGGATACGTTTCTGCAATAAGTCTGTCATCAGATTCCAAATGCTTCTCCTGAAGCTCAAGACACTTCTTAAAGTCTTCTATGGCACCTGCAAATTGCTCTTGAATGCAAGTCAAGAAATATTCAGTACAGCTTAATTATAAGCAGATACTACTAATATTAATCCTGGGATCTGAATGGGCCTGCAAGGACCCACCTGGATCATCGAATCCAGTCTCAACATTTATACACAACCTTGACACCTTAATTTAATTTGGAAGGGGGGGGGGGGGAACTTTCAACTACTGATATACTTGAATGAGCACAACTCAACAAATGACAGATACTTTTTGTTAGGCTAAATAGTAACCAAGAAGGTCCACTACAGTGTACCTGTTGTGGTTCAATTTTATCCTTGGTTTAAATATTTACTTTTCTTTTCTTTCAAACTCATTATCATACAATACTATAGCCAAAAAGAAAAGAAAAGAAAATTTAAACCAAGGATAAAATTAAACCATGACATACCTTATGCTGTCAAGGAATCTTTTTTTTAGCTGTCCACTTAGACAGCAGATAATTGGTAAATGGCTCTTTATTTTTTAGTCACGCAATACTTCGATTACTAAAAAATGCAACGTTTTACAAAGTTTTTCAAGAAAAAGTTAGTATTTAACCCTTTAAGCCTCAATATCCACATATAAATTCTCCAAACTGATCTCTCTATATTTCCTTAAAGAATGAGTTGAGAGAATTTGACTAAAGATCAAAGCATTTTTCTTTGGTGATCATTTTATTAATTCTCATAACCTAATCTCTTGACAATGTATGGATATCATTGGGAGAAAATTGATGTTGGTCACTATTGGGACTTAAAGGGTTAATTATATATTTGCTTTCACCAGTAAGCTTGGCTAAATCTATATATTATAATAATATATTATATTATTCTTATACCTTGTTCTAACTGAATCTCTCCAAGCTTAAGATGAACTTCTGCTAAATTCAACTGTGCTTCTTTGTTTTCATTCCTTTATAGAAAATACATAAAAATGCCACCAATCTCAATTATGAGCTTCAAACAAGGAAGAAAATAAGTTTCTCATCATATAACCTTGATCTACAACTTTAATACAAACCTTGAAAAGACAAGATGTGCCATAATTAAAGACTCCCAGGCCAGCTGCATAGTGGGAATATCTCCATCTTCCTGATTAAAGAAAATAAATAAGACAGTGTGAAACACAGTACTCAGTTATAAGGTTCTAGGAAACTACCCTCCCACCCCTTCCTAACACAATAAAATTATTGACTAAAATCTCACTTTGGGCAAACTGTTGGGTTACATAATGTCGGAGGGAGGGATAGGTGGAAAATTTTGTTTCTGAATATCATTTTATTTGGAAACGAGAACGTATGGATGCTGTTGTGATTAGGATTTGCTTGCATTGAAGAAACTTAGAGTTGCTACTCTAACATTGTGTTTCTTTCATGTTTACGGAGCTGCCTCCGAAGAACACACATAAGCCGATTGTTGCATGCTGCGCATTTACCTTTTCTTATTGATAAAAGGCCTTGCTCTGAGTCAGCAAAGAATAGTGGTGATGAATGGGCCCATTTAATATATAGACTGATTGTTTGATGGTCAATTACACCAACTTGACTTTAATAAGACAAACTAAAGTATAAACGAATCCTATGGACAAACCTAAATGAATGATAATTATCTTTCACTTGAAGAATGATAATGATTATTGATGTCAATACCTCTTGCCCTTCTGTGTCAGCTGTGTCAGTGTCTCCTTTAGCTCCTTCTTCACCCTCCTCCTCTTCACCTTCATCATCATCCTCCCCTTCTTCCCCACCCTCTTCTTCATCATCTTCACCTTCTTCTTTCTGGTCCTCCTGACCATCATTCTTCTCTTTCAGTGCTTTGTTTTCCTTCTCCTCTTTTGTTGAATCAGCTGTCTCAGCTTCCTTTAAAGTTGTCTCCTCGGATTTACTCTCACTCTCTTCTTTTGTTTCTTCTTTCTCTGTTTTACTTGATCCTTCATCACCCTTGTCTTCCACTTCCATGCTTTCAGACTCATTGACTCTCTTTCTTTCAGACTCTTTGTTTGTTTCTTTTGAAGTTGTCTTCTCGGATTTACTCTCACTCCCTTCTTTTGTTTCTTCTTTCTCTGTTTTACTTGATCCTTCATCACCCTTGTCTCCCACTTCCATGCTTTCAGACTCATTGTCACCCATTTCTTTTTCTTCACTACCAGCTCCTTCAAACAAGCACAGGAAACTTTTTCAAAGTTAGAGCTACGTAGTTATGGGGACCAGAATACCAAGTATACACTTTAAAATGTCTACAAAAAAATCTTATTATGTTGAAACTATTTTAAAAACCATCTCAGTTTTCAAGCAGTTCAGGCAATCTTTTTTCTTTGGCATTTTTGGATTGGCTTTTCTCTACACTGAAGTCAATCATTCTGTTAGACCATTTTTGCAACTTACCTTCCTCTTTGTCTGCCATGGCATCCTGTACATTTTCTCTAATTTTGTCTTTAGTACTTGGACTCATTTCACGGATCTTTGGTCCAACTAAAAATAATGAAGATGAGTTCCACGTTAGAAGAGTATTGAAGAAGATACAATGTAATTTACTTCATTCTAAAAGATCTAGATGTAGCAGCATGAGTACAACTGGAGTCAAGTGATGAGAAAGGCAGGTCCATCGTGGGCTGGCATAATCATATGACTGCATCGCATCGCGCTGACAGATGATGTCAAAAAAATAATAATGAACATGTCAATATTAACTGTATTTAATACTACTTCTCGAATATACTACGTGAGAGAAATATATTTAATATTTAAAGTGGAATGACATGTGTGGAGAGTATTAAATTTTGATGCACCTTAGATTAACAAGTTCATTAAGGTGACTTGACCCAGTTTTTTTTGGGGGGTACCATCCTACTTTGAAGCTCTCTGGTATCCCCACCTTTACTTTAATCGTACCTCTAACATATAGCATGGAGAACATATAGATCAATCTACAATATAACATAAAACTTTTGGCGATCGGAGTAAATGTCACATGGTTATAATGCCACGCCCCTTTGAGGTCTGAGTCGAAAATCTGCTGTTGCCGGCTTTTTTTCGTGAAAATCTCTCGGCTACACATAGTGCGCATTAGTGCCTTGCGCTGAACAGAGTTTCACCAAAATCGCAAAGACCCAATTCGAGAAATTCAGCGGTTTCCAAATTTAGGTCATAATTTATGCGAAAATGATAAGCAAACTTTACACGGATTATATCTAATAAACTATGAGATTCATCTCTTTATTTTGGGCATCGTTATAACAGATGGGTCCTTGCAAGTCAGCAAAACGCTTTAGGGCCTTGTAAATGCGCGCGATTTCGAGCAAAGCAAACATATAGAAATTATAGTTTTCGCTATTTGTTGACGTTTGTCAGCGTTTAAGAGTCCTTCTCACGAAAAAAGCATTTTCTTAAAAATTCGTAGTTTTTTTTCCTTCAAATTTTTTCAGGGCCACAATTGATTAACTAACTACCCGGACTCTGAATTTCATGGTCATTGAAAAACTGTGACATTATCTTCTATAAGCCCAAACTTGAGTAAACATTGAAGATTTTTAGCGTTTTGGCTGAGTTTGTGCTTTGGGAGTTGTGTATTGTTTCTAGTCTGTCATTATACAGCATTCTTGTTCAGCAGGCGTGCAATGACCGCGCTTGGCTGACTTCCGAAGTCCCTCAATGTCATGTTCTGTTGTCAAAGCATATCTAAAATATCAATTTAAAGGAAACTCGTATCATTTGTTAGAAATTATATGTTTGGAAATTATATTTTCAATAAAATCTAACTAACTACAAACTTTTGACAGGGTGTTAGGTTTTAGCAGGGTGTGGAAAACATCACCAAAAAAGTCATCCCTAAACACAGACTTGTGTAACACCTTCAGAGCACAGAGCACCAACCTGTGTCCATTTTTTCCTCCTCTTCATCACTGCTTTCTTCACTTTTTGGTTCAACTAATAGTAAAGTTTAATAATAAAGTTCTAAGTTGACATTAAAGTACATATTAACAAAAGTACAGCAAGAAAATTTATTCAAGGGTAAAATTTTGCAAATTTTTAGCATTACACACCTATGCTTTGTGACACAAATAATTAATAATAATCATAGACAGATTTCTTATAAGCCTAAACAACGTCCTTCATGACAAAACTATATTCAATTGCACTTCACTAAATGTGCAGCTCATATAATAATTATGAAATAAATACTGAATATGAAACATTTCTGATAAACACAAACAAAAACAAACAGATACATCTACTAAAACTGTCAGTTAAATTCTAAAGTGGTGCTATATTTTAAAAGTTAGCATACCGTCTTTTAATGCATTTCCTAGCACGCCATTTTCAGCCCTATTGCAGAAAGATAATGATAAAGATAAAGATAGAAATAAAGTTAAAAATATCAAGTCTTTAGAAACTTGACATAAAACTTTTTATTTCATAATTAATTCTAAAATAACACTTGCCAGTCTCTCAGGTTTCAGCATTAACCCTTTAAGCCCTAAGAGTGATCAGCATCAAATTTCTCCTTGTAATATCAATGCTTTGTAACACAGAGTGGTTATGAGAATTATGGACATGATCAAACAAGACGAATTTGCTTGATATTTTATCAACTTCTCCCTACTACTTCTGTAGGAAATGGATAGGGACAGCAAATGAGAATTCAAATTTTGATCTTAGGGCTTAAAGGGTTAATATAGAAGCGTCCAGCAATGCTTGAGGATACACTGTTGTCCATGTAATGTTTTTTCTTTCCACCCTGTGAACATTCCCCCTTCCTGCCAATTCAAAACGGCCTTCTGAGGCGGGATGTGTTGGGCATTTTGACAAGGTAGCCAGCTCACCATTAACCTGGGCTTTTTTAAGCAGAGTTTTGATGCTTATTAAGAGGACCTCCATGTCAGGGACACCGAGTGATCTTCAACAGTTTTCAGAGGCATTGAGGGCAGCAGTCTTTTGAGTAAAAACTGCACGATAACTTGACTACCGTAAATCCTCTATCAAGCCCCCCAGGGGGCTTATTTATTTCAAGCCCATTTGTGGGGGGCTTAATAGAGATGAAGGCTTGTTAGAAAAGGAGGGGGGCCTAATTAATTTAGGAAAGATGATGGTATCAGTTCTCCATAGAGAACTGGAATACAAAGTGGAAAAGCTCAAGTACAAGAACGTTAGAGGTCATGCAGCCAAGGATCAGAATCAAATCCAAACTTCCAGTAGGCAAATAAACCATCCCGGGTCAGTCCACATGAAGTTTTACAGTCGTGATTGGTTCAACCCATTTGCCACTGGAGATTCACTCACTGCTGAAAAAGTATAATAAATGACAATCTTCACCCCAGTATAGTAAAATATATGGAAATGAACCTTGATAACAAAAACGTGTTAAAGTGAACATATTTTGCCAGTACCTTGACCCTTCAATATATCGAATTTTTTCTCTACAAGTAAATCTGTTGTAAAAACAGTTGATTATTATGTCACTGACATACCTTGAAAGTTCCAATAATGCCTTTCCATAAAATAGATAAGCTTCGCCACATTCATCTGCTTTTGAGCCATACTGACTTTCTCTGCACAAACAACGAACAAAGATGGAGAGCAGAAAAATCTTTACTATATCTTGGTGTTGCAGAAACTCACCAATAATTCTTGGTTAAAAAACCCTGCAGTTGGTGAGGCTTTTGTTCAGTAAAAGAATTTAAACCCCTGAGTGAAGCCTTTTGTAAAAATGGTCACGTTTGTGCTATTCAAATACTTGTGTCACGGTTTTAACCAAACCATACAAATATTTTCCTAAGATTAAGATTTTAATATCTAATAAATGGCTTGATTCATAAAGAAAGGGGTGATAATTCCCTCTAAAAGTACGTTGTTCTGCAGCTAGATATAAAAGCAGCATTTTAGTTTTGGAAAGCCATAATGCATTTGTGACAAATGCACATGCATAAAATGTACACGTGCATCTCAAGGTCGCTACTTTTCTGTGTTAACTTGCCAAAGGGAAAAGGAAGCTTTACGGACTTCTTTGCACAAATGAAAAGAAACATAACATTGATACAAGCTTCGCCTTAAATATAAGGTAAGCTTAAGATTAAATACAAATGCAAGCTGTAAACTGAAAGTGAGATGCACCGAGTAAAGTTCAGGCCATGATAGATAAAATTTTTGAAAATTTGAAGATTTGATTTAGCCTAGCTTTCCATCCACAACAATGTGAATCACATAAAATACAGCGGATAACATCAACACGATATTAAAACAGGCAAAAGCTTACAGTTTCTGTGTAGCTTCTTCGAAGCATTTGACAGCTTGGACAACTTCGTTACAAACGAGGTGTCGCTTGCCCTTTCCCATTAATTTCGAGACTTCGTCGCTGAAAAACATGAAAAGATACGACAGATTATCCAACGAAGGACTAAAAGGCACAATAAGCCATATTTTCACTGATAATAGAAGGCAAATCAACGCTGTATTACCTGAAAGAGGAATCTACAGCGGCCATGACGAAACCTTCGAACACCACAAGATTTCGCGCTACTTATTCCCGCGAAGTGACATCACGAGCATGTGACCCACGGAGGAATTTATTCACTCCAGTCTTCACGCGACCAGATTCGTTGACTTTGGTCTCTGAGCTGCGTAGCTTACGATTTTCTTCTTTTTCTTTTTTTTGGTGTGTTTTTTTCTTCTTTTCTGCTTTGTAAAGAAAGAGATTCAGCCGCGTGAAACCTGAAACCGAGGACGAAAAAGAAGACAGTTCAGCTTTCGCGCGGCTGTAACTCCGTATGCGAACCACAAAAGGAAAAAAAAAAAGGGACAGCTACTCAGGCTACAGCGGCGGTTTGTTAGTCATTTCGATCAATTTCATCTTATCTCTCTTTTAATACGACAACGAAAGAGAACTTCACATTTTAAAACTGCTCAAAACCTTTATCTTTTCTCACTACAACGAGCTCAAAGGGGTGGAAGAAGTGTTGCCAATTCCTTCGAATAACTATATTAACAATTTATGATACAGTAAAGACCCGCTATAAATATTTTGAGGTCGGCAAAAAAGGTTCTATTATTTTGGGGTAGTTATTGGCAATTTAGGCTAAGTAGGTTCTTTACTGACTTCTTAATTTCTGTGAAGGAGACTGCCCCTTTATGCGAGGTCGATGAAGACAATTCAATCTGTACTTTCTAAAAACCCTTTTTTCGTTGTAGGAATTACAGTAATACTTCTATTTGTAATTACAGTTTGGTGCAGAGTATCTTCTCGTAATCAGTTAGCTTCAACTAGCAATCTCGAAGTCAAACTCCTTGGTTAAAATGTTCCTTACAGGATTTAGCCCCGCCCAAGAAGAATCAGCATTCAAAATGGCGTCATTTATTTTCTCAAGACAAAAAGTTCATCCAGGGAGTTTGACCTTAAGGCTTTACCTTCGTGTGGAGCCTTGCTAAAATCAGTGAAAACAAGGACAGCAAGAGACTACCCCTGCTGTTTGCGTGACTCAGATGGTGGTAACCCGGAGAACAATGAGTACTTAGCTTATAAGTCCATAAACTCAATCAACTTAAAAACTGAGCTTAGATAACGTGTGCGTGCCACCTGCCTTGTGCTACGAACTACAGTTTTCGGGATTTTTATTTTGCATAGCTATTATTTTATTCATGCCCAGTTTTATTTTTTGCGGAAACTAATTTACGTGACAGTGACAGACTGTGTTTTTTCTTTCTCTGCGCTGTACTAGGGTCCGTTTCTCTCCAGAGATACAATCGAACGTTTAATTTTCGATGGTGTCATTATAAGTTCTTCACGCTCTGAGTAGGCCGTCAGTATGTACAGTGAACATAGGTAGAGACCACGTGGCTGTTTCGGCAGATGGAAAAAATCTATGGAAATCCTAAAAAGTTGTCTTCTAAAAACTTCATCCAAAAAAGTGCTCGTGGTCGAGGTTTTGGTGTTATGGTTAGGTGGTGGCTAAATGTAGGTTCGTCTGTTCTAGCCTAGTAGAAGCAAAATTCAGAGTTGTAAAACGTGTCGCTGGTACTTTAATTTGTATAACTCAGGGCTTCTATGAAGCAAAGGTTTAGGAAAACAGGAACTCGAGACTATTTACCATTCACCTTTTGGGGGAGAAGACAAAAACACATTCACAGGGCTTTTTATTACGAAAATGGGAGGGGCGGGTATTTATACCACCCAAGATCAAGTCGTTTCCCCGGCGATTTTCTCCAGCCACAAAAAAACGCATCACATTTCATCTTTTTCGTAACACCGGTTTTAAAATATACAATCAATAATGTCAATAGTCGACAAAGTGTCCCGGGGTGTAAACCAACGCTTCGATTCATTTTTTGTTGTCTTCGTGCCGATGATCGCCTGGCTTTTTTATATAGTCACTTGAACTCCCTTTTGCCCTACAGTATTCTTGAGTGTCTCGAGTGTCTTTGTTACAATTACCACCAGCAGGAGCCGATACCACCAGATTCGAAAAAGGTTCTTACTCCAGATGGTGTGGTGAATAAGCAAACACAAACATCCCATTACTAATGTTTCTATTTTTCGTGTTATTATGACTCGAAAATTCGGCATGGGATTTTTTGTGAGTTAAATTTTCGGGTTTTGTTCAAAGCCCTAGGGATTTCTTTGGGTTTTGATTTTTGACCCCATTCGATCATCCCTTTATTCAACCTTTATTCAAAAATTTCTGGTCTTGCCATAGGGGTGCATCACTCAGGTTAAACGAGTCGGTTTGCAATGTTGACCACTTTGCTCTAGAGACTTAGTACAAAAATCAACTTACGATCAATCATTCTCGTTTGGATCAAAGCGAAAGCTTGCATTGTACCCGTTAACAAACTTAAAGCAGATTCTTTTTTACCTAGGCCTCAGGCGCAGGAGTTCGTTTAAATGTGTTATTGTTTATTCAAAATATTTCCCCGATTCTGATTGGCTAAAAGCACACGCATAATTAACAATTAATGAATGAGGCTGAGTATCTTATGAAGAATTATGGAGATCGAGGAGGGTGTTATCACGGCCGAGGCGGATAACACCCTCCTCGATCTCCATAATTCTTCATATGATACGAAAGCCGAATTCAATAATTGTTTAATGATTCACTCAAAATAATTCCTAGTTCAAAAACATAGCTAAAACGTGCTTACCTCCATCGATGTTAAGTTCATCTTCGATAGTGTACATTTAGGTTCATCCAGCTCCGCAAATATTCTCCAAATAGCAGATGTCGCCCTCCGAGTTGTCTTCTTGCTGTTTTTGCTATGTTTTTAGCTATTATTTCGCCTAGTTCCAGCTGTAGTTCTTACTCTTGAAACGAGTGAAGTGTCGGCCATTTTTGTTTTCACAACCAAAACAACTCAACCTCGTCCCCAGGTCCTCTTGGTTAACGGTGCATTAACCTGTAGCGAGCTGCATTTTTGACGTCATTTCCTCGTTAAACACAAAATTCTTCCAAATTTGGTCATCAGTAACTGGTTATGGTGAATTATGCGTGTGCTTTTAGCCAATCAGAATTGGGAAAATATTTTGAATGAATAATAATTCACCATAACCAGCTACTGATGACCAAATTTGGAAGAATTTTGCGATAAATGAATCGATGACGTCAAAAGTGCAGCCTTCATGCATGGTAAGAACAGCAAGAAAACAACTCGAAGGGCGACATCTGCTATTTAGAGAATCTTTGCGGAGCTGAACTGAACCCTAAACGTGCACCATCGAAGATAAACTTAACATCGATGGAGGTAAGCTTGGTTTAGCTATGTTTTTAAACTAGGAATTATTTTGAATGAATAATAAAACAATTATTGAATTCGGCTTTCCCATCATATGAAGAATTATGTGTTGGCCGAGGCGGATAACACCCTCCTCGATCTCCATAATTCTTCATAAGATACTCAGCCCATTCATTAATTGTTTATTAACACATCAGGGCCCAGTTCCTAGAAAGATGGTTAAGTTGTAACACAGGATGAAGCGAAATTTTAAGCGCGGTTTCCTTGCTAAGAGTATGTAACTCGAGCTTAAAAAATACTGTTGAGTCTTTACTCTGAGACACAGTAATGATTTACACAAAATGTTTTTCTAAGCAATGTATAGGAAAGTAAATACAAAAAGTGGAACAAAATCTTAATCCTGGATTAGAGCTAATCGGCCTTACAGGAACCGGGCCCAGAAGGAGATCTCTCCGTTTACCTCTAATTTACTCTGTATTTATTCTGAAGGAGGGTCTGGATGGGGTTAACTAACAACTGGCAAATGGCCAAAATTTTAACTGACAACTGACATTTGCCTTGGGTTTTACTGTCAAATGACAAAGGACCTAATTGTCCTTTATCTTCTGCAAAACCCTTTTTTGAGGCCTTTCAACAGCATTGTTTTACTGTTTTCGTAAGATGATGTGATCAAATGTGCGTTTAACGTAGTTTATATGGGTAATTTTAGCAACTGGACGCTGTGTATCATGTACCATCATATCCGTTGTAAGTGACCAATGATCTCAAATTTACGCTCCTCTCAGAACGCACCAACATACTGGATGGCTGCTAATGAGGCGCTATAAAAGCAATTGTAAGTTTTTTACCGAGATGATGCAGATAGGGTCTTTCCTAGTCTCTCTTACGATCTATGTCCTTAAACGTATAAATTTTGGCTTTCCCCCCAAAAAAAAAGGTTGGAATGTTGAACTCGGGCAAGGAAAAACGTTTGTGTGGACATGACACTAGCCTGTGTACAAACCACCCCCCCTCCCCTCCAATTTTTACTAAGGGGAGGGGGGGTTTGTAGACAGGCTAAGTGACACAAGACCCTCAGAATTTGAGGGCCACTTGAAATTCTTTCAATAGCAAAACTGATAAAAATTAAGGTACCATTGCATCATTTTTTGAATTTACGTTTAGTTTACATTATTTGTGCTTTTAAAGCTAAATTTCGATTTAAAAAAATACACAAATAAGTTTCATAGTTAATAATTTAAGTTTCCTTATATTTAGCTACTTATTTTTATTTTTATCGTACAGGTGTTACACCTGTACAAAATGGTAATACTGAATAAACTTGTTGTTGTTAATTAATAAGCATGCACTTACAACTAACAAAAAGCCTAAAATTTTTACTGACAACTGACATTTGTATACCCCCCCCCCCCCCCCCCCCCCCCCCCCACCCCCTCCCCGCCCCCACCCCCCCCCCCGGGCCGGCCCCGGCGGGCGCGGGGGGGGGCGGGGGGGGGGGTAGGGGATGCGAACAAACAAAACCACCCCTCATGGAAAAAACGAAAGTCATTTCGTCGCCGCACTGCTCCCTGCAAGCACACACTAGGACGAATGTCTAAGAAAAAACAAAAAAAATTTTTTTTTTTAAATTTTTAATTTTTCTTTATTTTTATCTTTTTTTTTTTTTTTTTATTGAACGGGTTTAACCTCTTAAAAAAAGGGAAATCTAAAAAAACTTTTTTTTTTTAATTAAAAAACCCTCCCTTTAAAAAAAAAAAAACCCTAAATTTTTTTTGTAAAACCGGACTTTTTTAACCCCCCCCCCCCACCCCCCAATTCAGACCCTCCTGAAGGCCGTACGCTCGTCGAGTGGACGGTCACGGAGGGACCGAGGGGTGTACGTTGTAAGCGTTTAGAACTGACAATAAACGAACTCCTTCGTGAAATCAATGCAGAACGTGATTCATTCCGCGGCACTTGCGAGAATCATTAAATCTAGGAAATTGATTAAAGAAGCAACTTATTGTTCTTTATCCTGTTCTTGGTTTTATAAAACTGAACGTTTTGCAAAATCTGTCGTTGCTATATCACTGGCTGAAATCTAAATATAAGTTATTAACTCGTGTATTATTTCCCACTACCATCCTTTTTACTGGGATGACGAAAAGATGTCTCGCATATTTATGTAGCCCGCAAACAATTACAACAATGTATAAACGGAATCGACATATCGTAACACCGTGCCGACTTATGCTTATACGATTGTACTGATCTGCAAATATGAACCTACCTTTTAAGAACCGGTTAAAATGACTGAAATTGGGTGTTTTTTGGGTGTTGCAGAAATCATTGTTGGTTCCCTTTTGTGTTGTGGTGTTGATATTGTTCAGGGTTGACAGTGTCAGTTTTCAGTCTGTTACGTTACGTTATTTATGAATGCACCCTTTTGCAATGCCAAACTAAGAACTACGCTAATTATTGCCAAGAGAGAATAAAGCTCACTACAGGAGCTGGCTTTATCCTCTCTTGATATTGCCAGTTGGACACCCTTCATACAAAAAACTCTGAATGTGCAGCACACTTTTTAGCAGATTTCTCTGCTGTCATCACTATATTAACCGGTTGTCAAATTTGATCGATAAACCAAGCGATCGTCACTTGGCTTAATCTCTAAAGTAAGCTTTTTGATTCTTCTTTAATTGACGTTCATCATGACTTCACCGTCGAAAAAACTCACAGAGAGTCACGACGTGGTGCATGGTCTAATTGGCCCTTTGCAGCTAGCCTGCGTATTAGGCGTCGAAAGGGGTAGGGGGTAGGGGGTAGGGGATAGGGAGGAAGGGAAAAAGGGGAGGGGGATTGGGGAGATTGGGGATTGGGGAGTTCCCTTTTCCCTTTCTCCCTTAAATTACCATTTAATTAAAACTAGGTACTGTATGTCTTTTGTTGGTCTTGCCCCAGTGCGACTTTTCCGTCCCAGCATGGCGGTTTTGTACCACGTGAATGGCAAGCTGCAGTTAAGTGACATTCTATTTATACGATCGTCGATGTTAATGAAAAAAACAAAGTTTTGCAAACAGAAATGCTATTTTCTGCCTTTTTTCTGTCCCGCTGATCACCCAGTGGCACATTAACACATACTATGTGCAAAAGGCACCAGGGCAGTACCCGGCAAACAAAAAGCGTCGGTCATAGAGCTGGTTGTAGACAACTCAACGAACAAGACTTTTGTGTTCGGAAAAGGAAAGTACTGTTTTCACGGACCCAAAAGATCGTCAAGTTAAACATTACTACCAAAAGAAAAAAGCTAACTCTAAGCACTGGATCTTCTTATGGCTCAAAGGAATCAGATCGTTCTTTAAAGTACATGTAATTTGTTCTTACGAGAAATCATTAATGTAACTAATGTTGGAGTTTTAACTATTGAGACTATTAAGATCGTGTTTAAACCTGTCTTTCTGAAACAGGTTCATTTATTACAAGTAAAACCCTTGGATATATGATGCTTTTGAAATACGCAAAAAGGTACGTCAGTTTCTGTGAAAAATTGTTCTTTGAACTACGCCCAAGACTTTGAAACCGCAATGAAGGAATCGCTTAAAAGAACTACGAATTCGAAGGGCTACACTCAAGAAAAATTGAATTGTCCCGTGTCCTGAATACTTTCATGCCTCTGTCAGCACTTTCAGCTATGTCTCTCCCATCGGTGCAAGAAGTTGTGATGAGGCACTGGATATAGAACTTTCGCCCTGTTTGACAACGAACCATAAGAAGCGAATCAACACAAGTTAACGTGGGATTTTGACCACCAGCGTCACGGTACTATGTCATGCTATTTGCTCTCTTTTTAAAAAGCTAAAACTTTTTTTTGCATCAATTGAATTCCAAAAATAATGGTCCAGTTTTGTTAATCAACAGTACATTTTGGCATTGATTTTTTTCCCGTTGTCTGTTGCAATGGATTGCAAGGATTGAAAATGGATTGAAACTTTGGCCAACAACAAGATACAGGACATACAGCAACCGGATAAGTACAATAGACTGTTTCAGATAATGAAAGTGACGAAGAAGGTGACTTTGAAGTAGTTTATGGCAGGACATGCGTGACCAGGTCGGGAAGATCAGTACGCCGAGATCATGACTGGTGCGTCTGGATCTATGAGGCTGTTGTCGTATCGATGGCTATACGACTTAATCTAAAGATCAGTTAATGGGGGTCTTAATAGCTATCGCTTATCCATTTTCACTACTTCGGTTAGATAATTATATGTTCTTTTCTATATTTTCAGTTACTTATAAATTGTACTAGTGGCGGAGTTTATGTAAATTCATGTAAATTTATACCTTGATTTTTAAAAATTCGGGTTATAAGGGAATAATATTCGCTGTAGGAAAGTGAAAGTTAATAGCTGACCGAAATTAGTAGTTAACTGAGAATTGGCCCAAAAAATAGTAGTTAACTGATATTTGGCTGAAAAATTAGTAGTTTAATAACTGAGAATTGGGTTCCCCCATTAGCACCCTCTATTCAAATTACATGTGTAAAAGAGTTAAGTATTAACAAAACAGATAACAAGAAGTCTGACATGCTTCATGACCATTGCACTTCATGCATTAACAACCTGATAGAAAGATGTTATCTCTATTGATTATTAATTATAAAAGGGAGAAAGCAATATCTACGAAGGAAATGAGACTAAAGTGAGAAAAATAAAACTTAAATCAGCAGTTATTCAATGTCTTCATGGTATGTCAGGGAATGCGTATTGGCGACACTTGACACATTCTCTTGCTCTCTTCTATAACATCTCAATCCTTCCCTGTAATATTACTTCACGGGTAGCATCCGGTATTTTATAGCGTTCACTTTTTAGACGGTTGAGGCTTAAGCCCTTTGCTTTCTCGATGCAGGCACGTTCCAGAATACCCAGACCATAGTGATGTGCAGTGTCTAGAATATCCAAACAGCCGAGTGCGTTGCGTGTTGGCCCATGCGGCAATTTTTCCAAGACATTCATTAGAAACATTTCACATTTTCTGGTGAGATTTGCCATCATGTACTCTTTTGCGAGCTTAAGTAAAAACAAGTAATTCTCCTGATTGATCGGTTTCGCCGACGTTGGATAAATCACTAGCAGCATTTCTTTGATCTCAGATGATTTCTTTCCCGGAAGCGGGACATCTCTAGCGGTTTTCTCTTTGAATTCTGAGGTAAACATCGTTGTGAATACTTCAGACCACATCCCCAGGATATTGCGATGAACCTGAAATCTTTCCTCTTCCACAACCAAAACCACATCACTGAATTGCCATGGTTTGGAAAAATCTAGCGAATCTGTTGGATACGCCATTCTCTGAACAACACTATGAACGACAGGTGAACGACGAGAAGGAACTGGGTCAAGTCTCCCCAGCTCATTGGCCGTTACCGGAAGGTGGGAGGGATCGAGTTTTTTCAGGTTTACTGTCAAATATTAACTATTAGCACCGCTGGATTATATTTCACTCTGTATTTTGCTGATCCATCGTACTTCTTAGTCTTACCAGCGCTCCGTTGTCGTTTCGGTTTGGATTCATCTGAAGTTTCAGCTGAATTGGAGTCTTCGTCGACATGTAATACTAAGGAGCTTAAGCAACTACGACGACGACGACGACGACGACAACTTCAAAAAACAATCGGTGTAATGATCAAAACAACAGCTCTGCAGGTGCATCACGCTTTTTAGTGCATTTCTTTGACGTCCATTGCACGACTACGACGAGAAACCTCCTAATTTGACGTTTTATGGAGGACGTGGACATACGACGACGAATTTTCCTTCCTCTTTGTGAACTTGAGTAAAATCCTTAAGAATTCAACTCCAGGAAAAGTCGCCTACATTTGACATATTGAGCGGGTCCAAATAGACGCGATTAAGTTTGAAAGAACGCAAATTCATTTTTTAACGACGTTTTCACTGCCGTCGTCGTCGTTGCTTAAGGTCCCTAGTACCAGGGCGGATAAAGGTTGGGCGGTGAAACGAGCGCTCCGCTCTTCATTTAATGTGTGATGCGGAGTAGGACTGGCACGAGCGCTCTTTCCGCGCTTCCGGTGAGCTTGAAGGCCGGCGAAATTTTCCTTTTTGCAAACCGGAAATCCTATTTTCTTTCTGTAATTGCAGGCTACAGTATTAAATAGATAAATTTGTTTCATAACAATATCAATAAACAGTTTTATATGTTTGTGTCTGTACGTCTATAAGTCAAACTTGTTGGTCGTATAATGCCAAAATTTGAGTTTAATTTGAAAGTGTTGAATACCTCCTCCTTCCACTAAATATCACCTAATTGTCTTTCGCTGTTTCGTTTGCAAAAGCTTAACACTTCTTAACCTCAATTTTTACATATTAGAGGGGGATTAATTTTATGTAACATAACAAAAACTAGATTGATATATATTGATATAGTGGCGTTGTACTTCTTCAAACTTTGCTTCTCGGGTGCAACGCGCGATATGCATGGCAATTCGCGCAATGCGTTGCAAATCCGGCAACCGCATGCAAACAAAATTTATTGAGGTTAGTTGTAAGGTTTTTCTCCGTTTTTCTGTCTAAAACAAAACAAGGTAAACAATAAAAACTGAGGGGGAACTAATTTTGAAGTTTCGAAGAAACAGAAAGACGTATGAGATGTTTTTTTCAAAATTAAAAAGGATGATGGTGCTTGAAATTAGCATAATTTCACCTTGCACGAGCTGCACGCATTTATTAAATACACGTCATCTAGTTATGAAACACGATCTGCTGTCTTTTAGTTTTGCCATGGATGACGTGGATGAGTTTAGACAGTACTTAGTTGTTTTTGTTTTGGAATAACATCGACATTGGCGAGTAGCAGAACGAAAATATAATTCAGTGGTAGAGTCATGGAAGTAATAAAAGAAACCCTTTCAAAGAGATGTTTGTCTACTCCAACTAAACCTCCCGCAAAAACTAGCAACATTTGCCTCTCGGAGACAGCGTACCAGCACAAAGGAACGAGGAAGAAGTGCAAGAAAACAAATCAAGCTGCCACAATTCAGTGACAGCGGCAATGTCTAATCATATGTATGTCTAATGTACAAACCACATCGCAAGCCCTGACCGAAGTCGAAAACAAGCGACATTTCTAAGCAGAGTCCCAGTCCACTGCATCACACCTTTTTGCTCGGACGCGCTCGTTTCACCGCCCAACCTTTATCTGCCCTGCTAGTACTGTTTCCGATTCACGCTGAAAACCCGCCATTGGTTGTGAAATTCTCTTAAGTAGGAAAGCATGTCGGGAAGGCACAGCTAGCTAGACTTGTACCGAGACCTCGGTTACCATAACAAGCTAGAGAGCCGATTTTAACGCGAAAGCGCCGTTCAGGGGGGGGGGGGAAGAGACGAGGTCTGGGACCGAGAAACGATGTTCTCACAACTTGCAAAGCGGTCACCGCGCGTGGTGGTCAGCGGAAAATTGCAGTACTTTTCCCACAGTAAATATTTTTAGACTTTTTAGAAGCAAGAAGCGACCGGCAGAGGAAATCAGAAATGCTTACTGAAAAAATAAAAAATTGAAAAAAATAATATCATGCATCTTTGTTTTTCTTTCATATCGTATTTGTCTTTCGGTACTGAAATTGCGGGGGAAACCGTGTTAGATCTTAACCAACAACAATGCGCTCGATCGATTTATAGGTTACATCGTTTTTGCCGGGTAAGGATAACTTGATGCTGATAAAGATTACTGGAGAAAGTGTCAAATTTATCGGAAGCAAGTAATTCAGAGAGCTTTATAAATATGAGCTTACAGCTCTACAATCATAACTGAATAAACATTCACACTTCATAACATTTCATTTCGTTTATTACGATCAGTCAACACCTTGAATCCAAAGTTAAAATTCAAAACGATCCTAATAAACAAATCACAACTACTACTGAAAGCTCTGTACCTTGAAGCGACTTTAACTTTCCTAAGGTTTGCAGCAAAACACTGCTTGATAGCTCAACTCTAGCTCTTCGGCGGTTCTTATCAGCTGTACGGATCGAGCTATATGTTGCATATTCCAAACTCTGCAGAGGGAAATTGTTTAACAGAAAAAGAAAACCACACACTATGTCTGAAAAGCGACATAAAATCAATAAATTTGCGAATTACCAAAATATAATCGTGAGAAACAGTCCCGCCTTCGATCGCCATGTTTTTGTTTCTTCTCAAGACCGTTGATCTATGGATTTTGACGTAATGCGCATGATCACTACACAAATCCGCTGGCAAGACCTTTGCTGATCGCTTTGCAAGTTGTGA